GCAGCTGGGCTACACCCCCCTGCACCAGGCAGCTCAGCAGGGCCACACGGACGTGGTGACGCTGCTGCTGAAGCACGGCGCCTCTCCCAACGAGATCAGCACGGTGAGTACTGCTCACCCGCTCCCCCTCGCCCCACAGCAAGCTCAGGCGCCTGCCCCGGCTCCCCCGTGGCTGGTGCTGATCCAGTCCTTCCTCCTCACGCAGAACGGCACCACTCCCCTGGCCATTGCCAAGCGACTCGGCTACATTTCTGTCACAGACGTGCTCAAGATTGTCACACAGGAAACCGACATCCCGGTGAGCCCCTGGGGACTGGGACCAGGGCCCTGTGAAGCAGTGGTGGGGCTGAGAGCAGCCAAGCAGGGGTCTGCTGAGCACGGCTGGGCAGCGCTGTGGCTCGGGCGCCTCTGACTCTGCTCTGCTCCTGCAGTCAGTCGGCGACAAGCACCGCATGAGCTTCCCGGAGACTGTGGACGAGATTCTGGACGTGTCAGAGGATGAAGGTGAGGAGTTGGAGCTGGGTTGCTCCATCCCAGAGATCTGCCGGCCTCAGAGATGGGCACTGGCGTTCCTGCTGGATGGGGTGGGGGAGCTGCGTGGCCTCACCATGGTCTTGTGGAGAGGACGAGGGGAGCCCGCCATCCTCCTGGGGTGGCACTTCAGGGCTCGGGTGCTGGATATGCCTGGACCTGTCCATGGTGCCGTGCTCCAGGAGAGTGCAGAGAGCCCTTGGCCATGCAGAGTGCCCCACTGTGCCCTGCTCTGTGGGTTGATACCAGCTCCCAGCGTGTCTGCAGGTGGTCCGCTCCTGCTCCCTCCCACCAAGACCTCACCTTTGCCTCTTCTTACTTTGCAGGCACTGCTCATGTCACAGTAATGGGTATGAAATGTGTCCCCTGCCCCAGCTCAATGGCCCATTTCACCCCATGGCCCCTAACCATCCGCACGCCACATCCATCTGCTGAGCCTCGCTGCTGGGCTGGTGCTGCCCGGCACGGGCCCTGCCATCCCGCCCTGCCCATCTGTGTCCGTGCTGCTTGCTGTGGTGTGACTGCATGAACGGGGCCGCCCCCCCACCGCAGGGGAGCCCTGTCCCTGTCGGCCCCGGGCCCTGTCCCTGGCAGACAGAAGAGCCTGGGTCTATGACAAACTTGGGTGCCCCACCACAACCGCCCCATGCCATCCTGGCTGGGGCAGGGATGAACTCGAGTGCTCAAGGGTCTCTGTGCCACTGTGGTCCCCTCCCGATCGCTGGGGCTCTATCCCTGCTCTGGGAGGTGCTGGGCTCCCTCCCACAGGGCATTGGTGAGAACCGAATGCTGATGACCTCCTCAGCAGGTGTTACCTGGGCCAGCAGACAGCACTGGCAGGGCTTGTGCCTCTGAGGGGTGTGTGAATGCACTCGGCAGTGTTCGGGCATCCTTCTCATGTCCCAGCCCTGCCCACGCTCCTGTTGCCAGCATCCAGTGGGAGAGTGGCCCCCACAGGCTCTGCCCTGTTCTGTGGGAAAGGAGTTGGCTGCTGACAGCTGCCATGGCTCCTGTACCTCTGACCCACGGCACGGGCCATGCCCCTGCCAGCAGACCCCCATGGCAGAGACCCAGGGGACGAGCGTGTTTGTCGGCAGTGGGAGCAGAGACGGGGCCTGGCTGCAGCCCCAAGGAAGGACGGGTGTGAGGGCTGGACGTCTGTGCTCCCTTGTTCTTCTGCCCCTCTGCGTGCTGAGCCAGCTCTTGGTTTCAGAGGAGGAGCTGATGGTAAAGCCCAGGACGCCAGATTCCAGGGACCAGGAGGGCAAGAGGGAGGTGCTGGAGTTTGTGACCACGACAACACTGGAGCAAACGTAAGAAGCACTGGATGGTGGGGTGGGAGCAGGCACAGGGCAAAGGACCAGCCTGGTGCTAGGCTGGGACAGCTCTGGACGGAAGTGGGTCACCGAGCCCCTGCTGGGCAGTGCCGCAGGCAGAGCTGGTTGGTGCCGTACCTGCACAGGACACGGCTCTACTGTTGAGCTTGCCTTGGTCCAGCAGCCCCGGGACTCCCTGGAGACGCCCAGGGCTGCCGCTCCAGTGACTGTCACTGCCCTCTCCTGCTCCAGCTGTCCTGCAGGTCCCCTGCGTCCCACCCGAGACCATGGTTACCAGAGCAGAGGAGACTGAGCAGGTAGGACCCGTGGAGACAGAAGCTGAGCAAGTCAGCCAGCTGCATGCGCCCTCGGTGTCCCCGCAGGAGGTGAGCATGAGCCTGCACGGCCCCCCAGGCATTCCCTGCTGGGGGCCCCCCTGACACCACAGAGCCAAAACATGGGGTGGCTGGTGGCGATGAACCCGGTATGGGGCTGCCCAGGGAGGGCTGAGGCTGAGGAGGAGCGGGCAAGCTCAGTACCCCCAGATAGGACCCTGTGCCCATGGGGGCTCTTCCCTGCCGTTCGCAGCCCTCCAAGGAGTTCGACGAGGACTCCCTGATCCCCAGCAGCCCGGCCACCGAGACCTCGGATAACATCAGCCCTGTGGCCAGCCCCGTGCACACAGGGTGAGTGCCCAGCCTGTGCAGCCCACGTGTGCTCTGCTGAGCTGGCTGCAGGGCGCCCACCTCCCCACACCTCTGCTTGCTCCAGGTTCCTGGTGAGCTTCATGGTGGACGCCCGTGGTGGCTCCCTGAGGGGCGGGCGGGC